GCAAAGATTAGCCTGGATTTGCTCCCACAGTCTGTTGTCTTACACATCCCTTCCTGTTCTTGGAGCAGCTCCACCCAAGCACCACTCCCACATCTGCAAAAGGCCGTATCATCCGCACAGTTAGTTGCTGGAACCAGGGCTTAATTTACACAGCCAAGTACTTTAACACAGCATGGTCTTAAAATGGCAGAAAACAGAACAGAATTCTGTGCATATGGATGAAGTCAGCAAAGAGAAAATAACCTCAGATCTAATACTCTTTGCAATATGTGTAAATTTAAGGAGATATATAGTGTATGATCTCCACTTAACAATCTCAGGTGAGAACAGGACATGAAGCTGGTATGGATTTCAGTGGAAATAAATATAAAGACTTATTGCCAAAAGGTAAATATTGACCAAAGTTAAGATGGGCTCAGTACTTATCTTATGGAACAATAAATCACACACACAAAAAACCCACCTCAAATCAATACATGTACTGTAACAGTCTTTCTAAAGGCATGACTAAAATTTCACCTTCAGTGGATGTCACTCAAACCACAAACAGAAGCCATAGGAAAGTTTAAGGATCTAACTGTAATATTCTAAAAATAGGGAATGATCATGTAAAATTAATATTATGAAAATGGTTTATGACTCCTTTTTTTTTTTTTTAAGTCACTCATTGCAATTGCAAAGAACTGACACCAAATTATCAAAAATTAAGGCAGCAGGGAGCACATATGTTATGTTATGCTGCACACAGTTGGGCGGCAGCCTGAACTGATGTGCTTTTTCCCATGGCTAAAATGACTGGCTATCATTAAGCTTATGCAGAATATTTTCCATACTAAAAGCTAGTGGTAACAACAGAATTTTGCATGTTATTGAAGAATGGGAAGATTTGTAGCATACAACTGCGTATGGTTTTCATAGCTTGCATTTTTCTGAGATTTGTGTAACTATTAGTAAAGGTGAAGAATTGAGAAATGAAGGAAATGCCTACTAAGGGAGGGTCACCATTGGCTAATGAGACACAAACATTGAGCAAAGGACACGAAAACTGATAGCTCCAGAAATAAGTAGTTTAATAAGTAGTTTTATTTATCATAGAAATGTTTGGGTTGGAAGGGATCTTAAGGATCATCCAGTTCCAACCCCCTGCCACAGGCAGGGACACCTTCAATTAGACCAGGTTGCTCCAAGCCCTATCCAACCTGGCCTTGAGCACTGTCAGGGATGGGGCAGCTACAGCTTCATTGGCAGCCTGTGCCAGCACCTCACCACCCTCACAGTAAAGGACATCTATTAATGTTTAATCTAAATCTACCCTCTTTTAGTTTAAAGCCATTCATCCTTGTCCTGTCCCTTCATGCCCTTGTAAAAAAGCCCCTCTCCAGCTTTCTTGTAGATCCTTTAGGTACTGGAAGGCCCTGTCTTAGTAGATGTCATCTTGGGGAAAGTATGGAATTCACGAAAGGTTCAGGAAGCAGACAGTAACTACAGAGTATTATTTTTGGAGGGCAGAAGTGCATTGAGTGCAACAAATTTCTGATATAAAACTTTCCTGTTAAAAAATATTATAAAGATGTTGGCAGGGTGTCACAGAGCCATAGGTACCCACAGATCCTGTTAAACTTTACTGTAGCCCCACATACAAGGGCTTCTCAACTGGAAGGACAGAGAAGACAGCAGGAGACTCTGGAAAATATTTGGCAAGTCCTTCACTGGTGTTTGCAACTCTGGGAGGACATAAGGGTGCTCTGAAGCCAGGCAGCTCACCCCACTGACCTCTGACAGAGCAGCACAGCTTTGTTCCAGGCTGAGGGAGGGAAGCACGCTTGTGTGGCTCAGCATGGCAAACCTTCCAGGAGAAAGCTTGGAGGTGTGGGGCTTTCTCACTCCTTCTTCTGATGCTTTTTTTACTGTCCATGGGGCTATGATACCAGTTTCAACACCCTCCAAAGCTGCAGTAAAGGCAGAACTTGTCACAGAGGTTATGCCTCTGTGAGTGGAGTCTCACACTTTTACAAAGAGGGAGAAAGGAATAGCACACCAAGCACACCTTCTGCCTATCTGGGAAACAAGCAAGTGTACCACTTGTGCTGGCCAGTACAACCAGATATCTTTCTCATCAGCTGTTATACAACTTCAGTTGAACTGCTTGTTTCACGATGGACTTACCACAGATACCGGAGATACTGACCGTGCTGAAACAGATCTACACCAGCAGCAGCTGCATGTCCAAAGAGGCAGCTCTCTGCAAAACATGACTATCCCATCCTCTGCTACTAACACAGTTCTACCACTCTACCTCCATCCCAGCAGCAGACTAAGAGATGTGTTAAACCTTACAGCAAACCTGGCTCATGCTGGGCTGCCACAGAAGGAAGACTAAAGAGCTCAGAGCAGAGCAGGCAGAGATACCATCAGTTCATGGGCTTTTCCCTCCATGTGGGTTTAATTGCTAAGGAATGGTGAAAGCACAGCTACTTTTTGTTCAAGCAAAGCTGCTGAAGAATTTACTGACAAAGCTATTTTTCAATGAAAATTTAGGGGGTTGTATAATTTATGTTTTACTGCGGAACGTATCTGTATGGATTTTTCATAGGAAACCCATAAACCACAGTCTCTTCACCATGAAAAAGAAATATAATGTATGCCCTTCCTTTTTATACAACTATTTTCCATTTACCAAAACCCAAAATGTTGTGGTTGGTCTGCAAGAACTGAAAAATTTCCTCTGAAGAAAACTATTCTCCTGATGTTTCCCTCTGACAGCAAAGAAAACAGTGCTGCAGCCCAGGTGTGGAGGATCTCTTTGGAAGATGGGTGTCTAGAGCTGTCACATTTGGATTTCAAATGGGAACAGAACTGGTCCCAGAATTAATAGCGGACCAGCACAAAAAAGTTAGGAATGTTTTGTGGTGAATTTTTTTCCATATATGACTTCAGCTAGACTCTTGGCTCTCAGCCATTCTAAACAAAAAATCCTTTCAAAATTAGAGTGAACTCTGAAGGATACTTAAGACAGACTGCAGAAAAATAAAAGCACGGGATAGAGCTCCTAAATAACACCAAGTAAGAAGGAATGACACTGTTTTTAGGTTTTTGACATCACTCATGATTTATGCTTCTCAGTCAATTATGTATATCTTTTTAATAGAACATATTCTTTAATAATCCTATTAGAAAAATATTATGACACAGAATAGCTCAAAATACCCTTCTCCAAAATAAAGAGTACTGTCCCATCCAGAACAGTAAACCCCATCATCTACTCGCAAAGAAAAATAACTTTGAGCCTAACATTTAGTTCTAAGAAAAGATCATTGGTTTGGTATGCAGTCATGCTCTTTTACTTACTTGTTTTTAAAACACAAGTTTAAAGCAAGGCAGTTACATAACACATGGCACAATTAAAGGCAGATTTACGTTGCCGTGAAGCAGAATTAGTACAGTCTTGCTCTTTAAATTCAATTGGCAAGCATTTGTCTTTTTTACGTATTTCGGCATCTGCTGGAAGCTGCAGGATGTTCCTGAAAAATACTTTAAAACCTTTATATTATTTTTTTCCTTTACTGGAAAAGTACTACAGGAAATACTGGTGCTAGCCTGCAAAATATAAATGCCCACAGATAAGTGGATTTCTGCAGAGGCAGTATTTGGAGTGTAAAAACCTGTACTGGAGAACTTCATCCTGAACAGATCACTGTAGCAATATCCAGCACAGTCATTTATATTTTTTTCCAGGTTATAACTTGCCATACCCACTTCCTTGGACATTTAAAACAAAAGTATTTCACAGACATGTTGCACATGGTCCCCAGAGATGCCATCTTTCCTCTGCAGTCCACCTCACATTAGCAAAGCCTGCAGACATGATGTATTTTGTCACTGAGATGGAAAGTACTCAAGGAAAGGAATGGCTGAAAGGTGCTTGTGAAACCAGATTAAAATAAAAGAGTGAGGTGAAGGTAATTTACTATGTCCTGGTACAGCCTGCCAAGAAAACTGCATGAACCCAATTTTCAAGAAAGTTTCTTAAAGGAACTTGAAATTAGTGGTGGAATTTTCAGCAGCCTCAAGCATGCTAAGTAATTATAGTTTTATCTGTCAAACTACTCTGGTTGGTTAAAGCACAAAGCAAAACTGATCTCTCTAGTAACCCCAGGAATGTATTACAAGCCTGAATGATGTAAGCAGCACTCCCATTAGCTTGAGAAATAATTGAACACACCATTTTTCTACTGACAGAATGGTGGCCTGCGTATTTTTTTCAAAGCCTTCCAGTTACAAAATTGACTTCTAGTAGAAGCCCAGATTGAGATCAGAGTTTCACTTCATACCTCCTAAGGTGACCTAGAGCATTTAAACATGGTCAGTGTATATACAACTGACGCTCAAGGCTCCTCTACCAATCACAGTGTAACTCTACACAACAAAGCTGCAGTTCCCTGCGCAAGAGATCAAGCTTCTTCAGTAGCCTGCTTTAACTGTGGTTCAGATTTTAAAAGGAACAAAGAACCAACTGTAATTTAACCCAGCTTCTGCAGCAAGTGCAAAATGTTCTTCTATATCATGCTCTTTAACAAGGTTACAGAACAATCAAAACAACACCAATGGAAAAAGCATACTTTCATGCATACAGCTTTTCTTTAAGAGAGAAAATGAGAAGGAACCAAATGTAGCAGGTATTTGTTTTGTTATTAAATTCTCTATTGAAAATCTCTGTTACATTGATGAAGTTGGTGTGAGAAGTCACCAGGAACCAAACGGATCCGATCTGTTTGTCAAGACTATGATGAATCACTCTGCTGCATTTGTTTCTTTTTTTTTTTTTTAGAAGGATGTATCTAATGGAAGAACCATCTAATTGTGGAAAATTAGCTGCACAACTGAGAAGGGCTGGAATTTGGCTTCTGTGTTTACTCACATGGAGAGTTTATATGGAAGAATGCTGGATCAATAGCCAGCATTTAGTAACTAACAAATTAACTAAGTCAAATTATTCTTACTGTGATAAGGGCCCTCATGCCTGGGTTCTGTCAACAGCCTCCTGTTTTCAAGGACTGTGACTGTGTATCCATGTTTTGCCAGGATGCGCTGACAGAGCTGACGGTCGGTTTCACGGTGGGCAGGAGGTGCATATAGAACCGCTCTTCTCCTGTGGGTTCCAAAGTACTGGAGAATGGCAGTGTCGATCTACAGCAAATACAATGCAAAGACAGTGGCTGTAAGGCAGGACAGTCCTCAGCAGTATAATACATAGTTGTTATACTTTTCACAAAAAGAAACTAGTAATTTACTGTGACAATCCAGGAACTATTTCTAGTGTAATAAAGAATTCTCTTTATATCAGAGACTTATGACCACAAATTCCATTTTGTATGTCTCTCTGTTTTTTAATACCTTATTTTGGACCAGTATTTCAAGGGTTTGAAAGCTCAGGGTAACAACAGAAAATCTTCAAACCCTAATCTTCCCTTCATGGAAAAATCTTTGGCTGAAATCTGGGCGGCTCTGGTAAGATAGCAACAGTACTTGCCAGCCAACTTTGTGGCCTCAGGCTGATCTGTGGGTCACCTAGCAAAGAAGACTTGGTGGGTCCCATGTAAAGTGTTCCAAGGAACATGAGTCCTATGCAGATGCTAAATGCATGGTTCTGAGTTCTGCTGTGCAGCATGATTGAGTACTGAGGTCAAAGCATGCAGAGGATAATCCTAAACAGTACTGTAGATTGCTGTGCCTATGGAAAAATAAAAGTAACCTTGTCAGTACCTTATTGCCTTATTAGTCCGAAACAATACATCCTCCAGGAGGACTGGCAGAGAGACTGGTATATAGGAGCAAGTAGAGAGGTCTCACATGAATCCCAAATAACTCTTGGGTTGTCTCACATTCACTGTCTTTCCACATAGTGCCTAAGAACAATGGCATCTAAAGGAAACCCTTACTCTGTATAATAGCCTGGAATATGATCTCCTTGCAAGAAAAAGTGGAAAAGAGCCACCCCAAACACAAAGAGATAGTGTGAGCTTGATATTAAGTTCTGAAAAGAGCAAATTAGTGGGCCGCTGTCATCAGGTCCCTAGGAAAGGGGAATAACTTACGTCTTACATAAATGTGGTAGGTTGACCCTGGCTGGACACCAGATGCCCACCAAAACTGTGCTATCACTCTCCTCCTCAGGTGGACAGGGGAGAGAAAATACAACAAAAGGCTCTTGGGTCAAAATAAGGACAGGGAGATCACTCATCAGTTAGTGTCATGGGCAACACAGACTCAACTTCAGGAGATCAGTTTATTACAAGTCAGAGTAGGGTAACAAGAAAAAATCTTCAAATCTTAAAACACTTTCCCCCTAACCCCTCCCTTCTTCTCAGGTTCAACTTTCCTCCTAAATTTTCTGATGTTTCCCTCACATATTCTCACTCCTCTCTCCAGTTGAAGTTGCACGAGATTTTTCCCCCCTTCTTATCTATGTCATCCCAGAGGTGCTACCACCATCACTGATGGGCTCAGCCTTGGCCCAGCAGGTCCATCCTGAAGCCAGCTAGCATTGGCTCTGTTGGACACAGGGGAAGCCTCTAGCAGCTTCTTGCAGAAGCCACCCCTGTAGCCCCTCCCTGCTATCAAAACCTTGCAAACCCAGCAAAATAAGGCGTAAAAATAGGATGTGCCATGTGGAAACAGGTTACTAATATCTGGAATAGTCTAGTTGTTATTTTGCAATAAAACCACCATTAACAGACAAGATTTTCCTTTGGTGAATTTTTTTTTATTTATTTAACATTGAAACATAGTAGCATTTAAGGGATTAACTTCAGGACATGAAATTAGCTCTTGGCAAGTTCATGAATTTCAACCTACCAGTAGTTAGCACTATGTCCTTTAAAAACTATGATACTCCATAACTTCTAATTTTAGTAAGCTTATCACTGGACATATGAAGTGCTACACAAACAACGCACCACCAGTTTGTGCCCAGTAGACCACACTGACGAGACAGATGTTTTGATATAAATATATGTGTCCAGTTGTTTATAGGACCAGGCCTGTAAAATAAATACATTTTATCAGGTGATAAGTTCACTCCTCTCAGCAGCCTGTTCCCCAAGTACAAGATGCAGTTTTAAGTTACGTTTGGCTGATGTGTGAGCTCATCTGTGGCAGCGAAGTATTTCAGAGCCCTGAGCCTCTGACGCCACATTTGCTGTTGCTCCAGAGCTGATATGCCCTGTGGAAAGGGTCAGCATCATTGAGAGGACCCTGAAAAATATCTCAGTATGACACTGTCAGAGCCTTCCATGAGTATTTGCTAAATGTGCAACCCAAGCTACTTTAGACACTGGGATATTCAAGGCTGATCACATGCTGGCCGGAAGCAGCACAAATAGCACAGGGTGAGGTCACAGGAACGGCATTAGTTACTCTGTCAGATGTCCCCACTGGCATAGCAGCGTTTTTAAAACACATTAATTGGGCAGCAAGAGTCTCAGATCACCCTTCTCAACCACAGCACCTGCCATTCTTTCCACTTCTGCCTTTGCACCTCCCTCTTCTCCTCTCACCTTCTCTCTTTCCTGCTCTCCTGCACTGCCAGCAGCCCCTGGCAGCCTTTCCTCCCTCTTTCCTGTCCTCCGTCCCTGTTCCCAAATCCAGCCCTTGCCCCAGCCCCGCTCCTGTGCTCCCTCTTGCTCCTCCTCCAGGCGGTCCGGGCAACCACTTCCCACTTCCCATTTCACTTGCATTGCGGAAAAGGCTCAGAGAATCGGGAAGCCTCTCACTTTATTTTGCATGCATATCCAGTTTTGCATCCCACATGCTGCAAGGGCCAGCTTTGAGGGGTGAACTGAGGACATGTGAGGAGCACAGAGGGGCTGCAGCCCAGGACACATCGCTGTTTGGTTTTAACCTGCGACTGTGACTCACCCCGCTCCCGTCCCTCCTGGTGTGGCTGGGGATGCTTTGCTGCCTGCGGTGAGGCTCCAGCCTTCGACTTGGTGATGCTTTGCCTCTGTCCCTCCTCACTAACAGATACCACAGTTGTATCATGCTACCAAAATACAGCTTGCTTTGTGAAAGCAAAGCCTCCTGCAGTGTTACACCTTAAGTACTTTGCTTCAACCCACGTTAAGAGCTTCTGTCTCAAGCACCTAGGAATGATTATTTTCCAGTGTGGGCAATACTCCAAAGACGGCTCTTGCAGGGCTCACCCCAGCCTGGCCACCAAGACCCAGAGTGCTGGCCAGGCTTGGCGCTGAGCAGCACCCCTGTCGCTTCTGCCTGGCTGCTGAGGCACAGGGGACAGGAGCCTCGCGTCCTTGGGGCATTCCAAGGAGCCCTGGGGTCAGCCTGTCTGCAGCAGGATCTGCCATGGAACAGAGTGCTCCCTTCCGCTTCCATGAGCACTGATGCATTTCCCCCAGCTCCCCGGGGACCAGCAGAGATGTTTACAACACTCAAGTTTGGTCATAGCAAATATTCAAGAGAACATTGATAGCAGCATAAAAAACACAGCAGTTCAAGCAGTAGCAGTAACCCGTGTCACTTCCACAAAACGCAAAAGGCCCCGGGCGGCTCCATGTGGCCCACACAGCAGCCGGCTCCCCCAGGGCACCTTTCATGAGTGATTGCAATGACCCTTGCAGGCGGAGCACACACTGGCTGCTTAAGAACACACAGTCCAGAAACACATAAAATCCCCCAGGCTGCCAGTGCTCAAAGCATCCTGATTCAAGGCTGGGAGGAACTGGGCAGGCCCGGCTGGGGACATGCTGGCCTCCATCCCCAGCCTCCCCTCCCACCACCCAGGCGCTGGCCCCGAGGTGCTTTTATCCACAGCTTCCCCAAAAGCCCCGAAGGGATCTCTAGGACACTGGGACAACTCAGGGTCCTAAATTTAACAGCTTGACCTGATGTCTAATCTGGTACTCTTAAATAATATGAAGTAGCTCAACACCTTTTACGGTGCTTGTTTGAGATCCATGCATAGTATTGCCAAATTTATTTCCTCTGCCCTTTCAGAGCTATTTGCAGCCCAGGTTACAAGATGCAACGTGTCCTGTTTTCTTGCCAAGCGAATGCACTGTAATACCTTACATTTTCTTCTAAACTACCCATTAGCTACATAGAAGTTAAAATAATTCTGCCCAACTGCATGCTTATAGCAAGTGATTCCATATATTTTTCCAAAGCTCTCTATAAAATGCCTTACATCACTGGCCATGCTGATCTAGTTACTACTGGATGTTTTTCAGAATTTCCAGTGTTATAGCAATGGCAGTCATGTTTATACGCTTAAAGAGTCTTCTGGTTTTTATAAAATGTTTCTCAATCATAAAAGTGCAGTCTGGGCAGAGAGCTGGTATAAAAGAAGCAGAGTGCAGTAGATGAAAATAAGCTGGTCACATATTTCCATGTTTTATGGTTCTGACTTATATGGCATTCCTGCAACTTTAATGGGCAGCAGGCTTAAACCAAAAAACTGACTCCTTAAAATTTTGAATATTAGAGAATAATTGTTGAATGGTCAAATGTTTTCATATCCCAATAATTTTTTAGCTCTTCCCCAGTTTTCCCAGGCTATTTGTTAGCAGGTCAGTTTATTACAGATTCAATACACCTTATGCGAAAGGGATCAGTAAAGAACATCTGTGGCCCATGTCTTACCTAGAGAATAGTATGGCTGTCTCCACAAACATTAATGAGGCTTTACAGCAAAGCTGAGATTTCCCATATGATTTAGGATGAGGCCTATGTCAGTTTTGACATGACATACCTGCTTTTACAGCTTGAAAACCACTGCACTTAGCTGAGGTTGCTGAGTCACTGACCTCATTTTAGTGCAACAGGCTGTTACACAGATGACCCACAGCTTAACAACTGGTCTAAACAAACCACAATGGGCAGAAGAGTGATAAAAATGCATAAAAATGAATTCTATTATTTTGTTTTCAGTTTATGAAAGAACATGAAAAACACAAAAGAGAACAAATTTAGCTCCATAAAATTTTTTATGAATTAAAATATGTATCAAATCAAACTTCTGTTCCTCTGAGATCTTAACAAATGAGATAAACAGTTGGGTTTACATAATATGAATGCTCAAGAATTACGTAACCATCCTTGTCTGACTGAAAATAGACTTCTGTTATCTAAGTTGAAATTCTTAGTTCTGTCTGCCTGCAAGTTCCACATAG